TTTTTTTTTCGCGATTGATTCAGGTGAGCCGGTTTAGGCCTCCTCCACACCTTGAACCGGTCAGACCCCCGATACACCCACTGTAGGGGCATATCGGAGGGGTCCCGGAATGATACATATCGGCCAATACAGGCTGATACATGTCAATACTTTAAACCTTGCATTTAACAACTGGAATGACCTTCGTGTTTCGGGTTTTACAGTCCTATCCTCTGGTGCAAGTCTTATAACACTTAGGTAAACAAGAAAGATAATAAAACCTTGGAAACACAATCGCAAATGTAAATGAACATGTTGATTTTGCATTCCTTTCCAGTGCCAAACCAATTGCAGAAAAGAAGTTTTCCAGTATTAGAGAATAAAAACCTATTCAATAACTTTACCTAGCAGCTTAAGTTTTAGGATGAATGGCTCTTTTTGATTTAAGATTTCACTTGGCATATCTATCTATTCAGGAACCTGACCAATAAACAACTTAAAATAGGATGCAATCGAGCCGAGTCAAACCGTGTGTATATTAGAATCAAACTTTAAATATTTTAACCTGAATTTAATTAAAATCAAACTCAAACTGAGCCTAATCAAACTTGATATTTATCGAATTCAAACTGAGCCTAATCAAACTATTTAATTAGAGCTCGGTTGATTATTCATCTATTTTGAGATGCAGTTGCCCTATTTGACCTTCTTTCTCACCAGGATGCTTTCGAAATGGTTTAAAGTTTCTTTCTCTTCGTCACCTTTATCACTTTCTCCTCTTCCACGCAATTCTCACACATTTTCCAATAGAAAATCAGGGTACTCCAAAWATCACATCACTTTCAAACACGAAATTTTGTCCTAACTAGCCATATGAAAGAAGCTCGCTGTTGCTAGCTTGAGTTTACATCAGTGTCCCATAACACATCGCAATCGTGTAATAAGAATATGTCCCGATGATATCATCGGGATTAAGAACATCTCCCATTTATCATGAAGTTGTTTTTAATACACGGTTGAGATGTGCTGTCGGGCACTGTGGTCTCCGCTAACTTACTTTTAATTAATGAGACCAGAGACCCTTTTGATAACTACTACCAAATACCAATTGATGTCCTCTTATGCTCTGCACCAGTTGGGCTCTGTTGGTCTTAGACGACTTAGACTTTTCTTTACAATCTCTGTATGCTAGGAACTTAACCTGTGGGGCTCCCCAAAATTCATGCTAGTGGTGTGTGAAATTAAAGGGGTTTCAGTCAAAAGGTTGCATGACTCTAATGCACGAGGCGCCTGCTTCTTAATACTGTCCTTTTCCTTTAGACTTGTTTGTCTTCATCGTTAATGAAGTAAACTTCATCATCCTCATTTATTCAAAAACCTGAGGATATTAAATTGAATATATATCAAACCTCACTACCTAGATTTCAAACTGAAGGTGACATCTGAGGCCTTTGGTAATCTGGCCTAACCCCAGTCTTTCCCATCTCACCACAAAAGCAGAAACATACCTTTCAGCTTACAGTGTAACGATAGAATTAGGTCCAACCATAAATCTATGGACGTAAAAGTAGTCTTATCCTATACTTTTCTTTTTAATGCATTCATTAATATTACCTATACTTTAAAGTTAAATACATATGATCATCAATCAAGATTTTTAAAACTTAATCGGACAACAAATCATTCAAAGGTTTGGTTCTTGGATCAAACGGTTTGATCATTCGAATTAAATGGACGGCCCATTCTGAGGTAAAACGAAATCGATCATATGCCTGATTCCCAATTTTTCCGGTCTAATTTTAAAAACCATGTAACCAATTGCGTTTTTGCTATACGGTACAACAGATGCATCATTTGATTTTGTCTAGTTATTTTTTATTTTCATCAAATTATTGCTTGCATGTGTATCATGTGATGTCAAATACATTCATTACGTGAACGTGTGATGTCATTCATATTATATTTTGACCATATCTGCTATATAATTTACATTAATTTATCCTCTTTTTCTTTCTTTCTTTCTTAAACGCATATAACACCTTTTGTTGAAGTTAAAAAGTCGAACAAGCCAATTGAAAATCTAATAGTTGGGTGGTCCGTATACAACTCTCGTTTGGATAATTGCTGTCTTATGTGACAACGCCTTGGGGACAAATTCCCACCTGCCTTCATGCTTTCGCGTATCCGAAAATTTATCCGAATTCGAATTTGAGATTTGATATAATCTAATTGAGTTTGGATAATAATATTAATCATTTGAATCTGAATATTAATCATATTAATTTATTTATTAAGGTTCTGTTTCATTTACAGGAATCTAAATTTATTGTTATTGGAATTGGGATGGTCTATTCCTATAATTTGTTTGGTTCAGACAAGAATTGGAATGAGAATTAAAATCAATTGGTATGAAATTTTATTCTTATGGGAGAGAAAGGGAATGACAATTCTGCCAAGAAGGGGAATGGGATTCCAATTCTGCTCAATCAAATAATTGGAATTGGAATAATACATTCTAATTCCAATTCGAAACTCCTATTCCCGGAAACCAAACGTGCCTTAATTTATTGAATCTGAATTTTAGGCAATTAAAATATAATATATAAATTATATATTTATATACTTTATATAAATAAAATAAATAATTGGATGAAATATCTGAATCTCCAATTCTCTAAAGCTTAGTTTGGGAAGAGTGCAAATACAAATATGTTCAATGCAAATGTGTTATTTCTATACATTGTATTTGCATTCTACAAATTTGTATTTGCAATCTTCCCATATCTATATATATACTAATACAAATGGATGGAAGAATGCAAATGAGAATTTTGCAAATTTTGGTTTATCTTTGCTTGCAATTTTATTTTAGTTTCTTTTAGCCATTATTTTATTTTGTCTGCATTGAAAAAAATAGTAAAGTGAAATCTATAATAAATTAGACCAAAATTTGAATTCTAATTCATTTGCATTCTGATCCATACTTTTGCACCAAAGCAAATGAAGTTAATTACATTGCAATCAAACAAAGTGTCTATTTGGCATCGATGTCGTTGATCCAGAAAATGGTGCTGGTTTGGAGCAACGTTGAATTTGACGTTTTCTCAGATTGGAGCTCGTTGTTACCAATCTGATGTGGCAGAGACATGGATTTACCAAACAAAAAGTGTTACTGTTGCTCCAGGAAACGTCCTACCTGACAATAAAGTTTTCAAATAAAAAATAAAAAAGAGACACCATTTTCTCAAAAAACAGTACTTCCAATCCACACATCAGTAACACCATTTTATGAGAAAACAGTATTGTATATACAGCAACGATGCCAAACATATACAAGATCAATTATAAGAAAATTTAATACAACCACAATACCCACGTTCGTTTATCGCTATATTCGACTAATAATTGATATTTCCTATAAGGTGGATAAACACGACAACTTAACATATTTTGCTGAAGCCGATAAGCACTCTCCCTCTAATCTCTCTTCACCCGTATAACTGGTATAGTGTATAAGAAATACTTGCCCCCAACTAACATACTTACCCAGAGTTCCAGATAAATGAAAATCAATGGGGCTTTACTATGGTCTACGAAAATGCCGACATGGCAAAGTAGAGCTGCCTACCGGTAGTAAGATACCGACAACTTAGGGTACGTGTGAAATAAATAGCTTCATAGTCAAAAGTCAAAACCATGGTTCCCATACTCCCGATTACAAAAACAAAAGGACCGTGGCTCGTGGGGTGGGGGATACACGTAGCTGACGCTGCTGACCATTGCCATTGCCTACTCACAATTTCTTTGAGAAGCACAATTTGACGCTAATGCCCCTCACATAGCCCACAACTCCAAATCGAACTCAGCTCTCTTCGAGCATTTGACCGACGAGAATGTGGTTGCTTTCGTAATTCAACACGTAATTTCCTTCTTCGTAGCGAAAAGAACACGTTAGTTTCCTTCTTATGGTTGGGTTGACAGGACTCGTTGACTGGCTAGCCGTCACGGTGTATAACCATTAAAATATTACCACGTGGCAAGTTATCGTCTCGCTTCTGCCTCCTTCATCCGTCTATATAATAAAGGAGGGCGACCAACAATTCTTCATCCATTCCTGCTCACTATTTCGTGCTTTCTTCTGCTCTCGACTAAAGGAAAGATCATTCGGCTTCTTTTTATAGTAGTAGATACTTAAACATCTAGTCAACCCAATCATGCCTGCCGGAGGATTTTCTGCTCCGGCAACCGGCGGAGCCGAGTTCGAAGCTAAGATTACACCGATCGTCATTTTTTCTTGTATAATGGCCGCCACTGGTGGTCTGATGTTCGGTTACGACGTCGGAGTTTCAGGTTTATTTCTCGATTTCATTTCATCTTAAATTTCATCTTATTACGGTTTCTTCGGTTATATGATTTCAAAGGAAATATCCTGCGAACGTCATGATTCTAATGATCACGTGTTCTCGTTATCTAAATTTGAGTGGAAAGAGGAACGATTTTAGCAAAACTTTTTTTTTTTTTCCATCGTTGTTTTCGTGATAAACTCTCTGTTTTCTGGAATCTTGAAGATGTACTTTTCTGAGAATATTTTCACTTGTTTTCATGCACTGCTAAAAATTCTGTTAGGTTTATGAATAGAACAAAATTTTTTTCTGAATTGAAATGAAAAAGAAGATTTGTTTATTTTTTCTTTCCAATTTCTTTGACTGGGAACTGTTAGATACGGGAGAAACTCAGATCTTGATTCATTGGAATACGTTAAGCCTTAAGGCAGACCCCAGAGGAAGACAATATTCGTCGGGGAAAAAGCTGTGAGAGAGAGAGAGTGAGGTCTCCCGGCAGTCCAGAATCAGAGACCGGATCTGCTCATCACACAGGGCGCCTCATACACACACATCGTACCCTCCATTGGGAACATCTCCCATACTTATATATTATCATTCATGGGAGATGTTTCCAATGCACGGTGGATGCGCATGTGAGGCGCTCAAATGTGAGGAGCAGATCCCGTTCCCCAAGAAGCAGGATAGATGAGTGTGATGAAATTTTGATAGTAGAGTTTAATACTGGAATACGAAAAATACCCCTGACGTTAAGGAATCTTTTTCAAAAGTCATAACTCGTAGTTGAATTTGCTAACTAAGCATTTTTTAATATTTATTATTATATATTACCAAAAGAAAAAAAAAGGGACTAATTAGCGTTAATTTGGTAATTTGATGCAGGTGGTGTGACATCCATGCCGCATTTCTTGAAGAAGTTTTTCCCGGTGGTTTACCGGAAGACCAACGTGACGGAGGCTGTCAGCAATTACTGCAAATATGATAACCAGGGATTACAACTCTTCACTTCATCACTCTATCTGGCTGCGTTGACCGCCACCTTCTTCGCATCTTACACTACAAGAAGGCTTGGCCGGAAGTTAACAATGCTTATCGCCGGTATGTTTTTCATAGTAGGAGTGATATTAAATGCGGCGGCCCAGGACCTCGCAATGCTGATTATAGGACGGATCCTCCTTGGTTGTGGTGTTGGTTTCGCTAACCAGGTTTGTCACTCTACTAATTGTACTCCTAGGTGTGATGGTTACAAATTGTATCACTTAGGCCTCGTTTATTAAACCGTAAATCATTTATCTAGTTAAATGCACTTATTGAGGCAAGCGATTCTTAGGAAGCACTTGCTTGAATAAGTGCATTTATTAGGGCCTGTTGGGTTTGTAATTGGAATTGGAAAATGGTTTATTCTCATAGTCTGTTTGGTTCAGATAAATATCGGAATGAGAATTGGAATCAGTTGGAAGGGATTTCATTTTTAAGGGAGAGGGAGGGAATGGCTATTCTCTCAAATGGGGGAATGGCATTCTACCATGAATGGGAATGGGGTTCCAATTCCACCCAACCAAATAATTGGAATCGAAATAGCCCATTCCAATTCCATACCCCTATTCTTATTCCCATGAAYCAAACGGGATCTTAATATTTTTTTTTTTGTTTTTTGAATAAAATTATATAATTACTATTTTATCCATAAAAATATCATTATTAAAGGTACAATATTATCACATCATATATTAACAATTTTGACATAACCGATAAAATAATTTAAGTAAGTTTTAAGAAAGTATTATTTATCTAAGTAAATGAGGTTTTTGAAAATCGTTTTTCCTCTACGACCTCTAATACCAAAACATGAACAAGAATTTCTTGTTTATATGGGATCACCTACTTATTTGCCCCCATTTACGCGTGCCCTTTGTTGTAGCATTTAGGGTATGATCGAAGCAATGGCATCAAAAGTCTACACTTTTAATAAGCTTATTTTTTTTAGGTTAATCCTCCAATTACATGGGACATTGGATAGGGCATAGAATTTGGCATGTGCATGTGTCATCAAGTGTTGAAAACGCTGGATGATATGGGATCTACAAATATCATGCCAAATCAGAAACAAAAGAAAGTATATTCTCTGTCATTCACCCCGGTCCATTGTCCTCCACAACTTTATTCCTTGGAAGTTCAAAAACAAAGCTAGTTGGAACTTCCCTTTGGCGGTTTGGCCTCTCCCCCTTTCCAAAGCCAAAGGAATAATGTTCCAGTTCCACACACTAGTCCGAATCCGCTGCACTTTTTGCTCCTGCAGTCGATTCCCATTACTTTTTCTTCTACATATTGCATCTATATCCGGAGTCCGGAGTCTCTCTTTTCTGGGACGGGGTTGGGTTGTTGTTGTTGGATGATAAGGTCTTTTTTGGTAATGTGCGCTTCCGACCAGAACCGTTGGTTCAAAACTATATAAAGGGCGGAAGTACGTAACGTAAGAGATTGTTTAAGCCACCACTCACACTCACACAGACCGATTCTGTGGAGTTCGAATCTGTTACCAACCTAGGCGGCAGAAATGGTGGGCTTTTCAGCCAAACGTACCCTAGTGCAGCGTTAGGAGAGGACAAGGGTGTAACCTGTCCCATCTTCATGGTTGGGCAGGGCAGGGCTGCAGGGGTAAAAATCCCCTGCATTGTGGGTCACCCTTGGTCCAACGTGATCAAATGGCTGCCTGTCCTCTTGGTAGAACAGGATATTCAGGACAGTAGACCTTAAGGATCAGGCCCCACGTATTCCTACCCCAAATTTTCTAGGATAATCCACTCCATCATCTGACCACGTGTCTCATAACAATTTTTGCTAAAACCAAAGAACAGATTTGGATGATGTTATGCCCCATCTAGAGAACAAGCTTTGGGGGATAGATCATGAATTAATTCAAATCCGATCGACAACCCAAATGAATCGTTAACTTGCCACGTGCAAAGATGTTGGGGATAGATCATGGGTCTGGTGGATCCAGAGCCAGAAAAAATATGAACCATGTATAGACCGTTGATTTAGCAACATCTAGTGACTGACTACTGGGAGTGCAATTTAATTTGATTAAGCACTTTTTAGATTATAAACTTAATTTGGGCCCTCCATCTGGATCTGGGCATATCTGTTAATCACTCCTTGCGGTATTCTTGTTGCACTACCCCCTGTTTCTGCAGTGCTTTTCTTCCATTTGTACCAAAAACGGAGTTTCTTGTTGTTACAAAATTGTGATATTTCCCTTTCATTAATTTGGTTGTGTTCTATTAAATACAACAGGCTGTTCCTCTATTCCTCTCGGAGATTGCACCCACCAGAATACGTGGAGGACTTAACATACTGTTTCAACTGAATGTCACCATCGGTATACTCTTCGCCAGCCTCGTCAATTACGGAACCGCCAAGTAAGCCATATAGTCCTCTCTCTCTCTCTCTCTCTCTCTCTACTGCATTTGATATGCTTATTAATTTACATGTTTGGTGGTTAAGATAGAGCGATTAATGCATTATTAATTATATGTTTGACTTAAAGAGGAGCCTACAACCCATAATTTAATAATTAATACATAGGCTGCTGATTTCCTAGATTGTTCTTTCTGTCCTATTCCTCATGTTTCAATTCTTACATAATCAGTGACTGCCATCATTTAATTTCTTTTTGGGAAAAACAGTCGGGTCTGTTTGCAATTATATTCTTATATATAGCTGAAAAGTCAAGCAAGAAACTGAGTGGGGGCCGCTGGTAAAGCTAAAAGCTCCCAGACTGAGACAGCCCAGGCTGTTTCATGATTCCAATTTCTCTGCTCGATCGTTATGAGTTTTCAAAAATTACTTCAGAGAAAAATACAAGTTGAGATGTATATTGTGTGCTCTATATATGGTTCTAAACTCAGTCTCTTGTATTTCTTTATTCGATAAATTCGATGCTGACCTAACAAGAACTTGATGATTATTTCCTATGGCAGAATCAAAGGGGGTTGGGGATGGAGGCTTTCGCTGGGGCTGGCTGGGATCCCTGCATTTCTTCTAACTGCGGGGGCTCTTTTTGTGGTGGACACTCCTAACAGCCTCATAGAACGTGGCTACTTGGAAGAGGGAAAAGCCGTCCTCAGGAAGATAAGAGGCACTGACAACATTGAGCCCGAGTTCCAGGAGCTACTGGAGGCAAGCCGCGTGGCTAAGCAAGTAAAGCACCCCTTCAGGAACCTCCTCAAGCGAAGGAACCGACCCCAGATGGTCATTGCCATAGCCTTACAGGTCAGGATTATGCTTATTTCAGTTTGATCTCTTGGTGGCTATTATTTACATAATATAGATAATGACATCAAGTTTCTAACAAGATTTATTTTTTTTGGTGGCGCAACAGATTTTCCAGCAATTCACGGGCATCAACGCCATCATGTTTTACGCCCCTGTGCTGTTTAGCACACTGGGATTTCATAATGATGCATCTCTGTACTCGGCCGTCATCACCGGCGCTGTCAACGTTGCGTCCACTGTCGTCTCTATATACACAGTGGACAAGGTGGGGCGTCGGATACTTCTACTTGAAGCTGGAGTCCAGATGTTCTTATCTCAGGTGGTGATAGCGGTGCTGTTAGGGATCAAGGTGACGGATCACTCTGACAATCTCAGCAAAGGCTATGCCATCCTGGTGGTGGTCATGGTTTGCACGTTTGTTTCATCGTTCGCCTGGTCGTGGGGGCCTCTTGGGTGGCTGATTCCAAGTGAGACGTTCCCCTTGGAGACGAGATCGGCGGGGCAGAGTGTGACGGTGTGCGTCAACATGCTCTTCACCTTTGTGATTGCTCAGGCCTTCCTCTCCATGCTCTGCCACATGAAGTATGGCATCTTCTTGTTCTTCTCCGGGTGGGTAGTCATCATGTCGTTGTTCGTGTTATTCCTTGTTCCGGAGACCAAGAACATCCCCATCGAGGAGATGACTGAGCGAGTGTGGAAACAGCACTGGTTCTGGAAGAGATTCATGGATGGGGATGACCATGGGAAGGTGACTGAGATGAACGCTTATGGGACAATTGAGATGAATGGCACCACAACTAACAAAGAAGGGAAGAGCAATGGATTTCACGTTTGATCCATCTTCGCTGCTGTAAAGAATTGGATAAATAGATTGATAGTTACAACTTACAACTATTCCTTTTACTAGGTTTGGGCAAATTTTAGGTAGCCCAGAGTACCCCATTACTTCTTCTTCTTCTTCTTTTGTACTTTTTATTTTGATTTAGTACCACATGTATCGTATCTCTCATATTCAAAGAAAATGCTTTGATAAAAAAAAAATGCTATGTTTTTCTATGCATCTGTGTTAGAGTTCGGACTTTACCCTGTGTTTAATTCAAATATAGTAGAAAGTATCTATTTGTTTTGTTGATGGGTTCCACGTGGCAAGGTCGGAGATCACTAGGCTTACCCGCTTAGTTCAAATATAAGAGGATAGGTTTCAGTAGTGAGAGTCATAGGGGTGTCAATTGGACCGGATATGGACCAATCCAATCCGGCCAATCTGAATCCATTATAGATGGACCAGGTCCAATTTAATCCGGTGAGTTCTTTGGACCATTTTGGACCAGTCCAATTCAATGTCTGGACAGTCCAATCTGTTCAAGTTGATTTTAATTTAGATTGGTTCCAATTCATTATAAATTTTTTATGGATGGACCAGGTCCAATCCAATCGAACAAATACTTTGGACCATTAAGTCTGGACTGGTCTAATTCAATATCTCTTATTGGTCTGTCCAATCCATCTAAATTGATTTCGATTTTGATGAATTGAACCCAAAATCGGTCTATTGACACCCCTAGTGAGAGGCTTGCGACCAACTCTTTCTAAATCCACTGAGTTGATGATAGACTCCCTGCTATAAAAAACATATAAAAAACATAGTATAAGGTTAGATGGGCACCCATTTGAGCTTGTCACATGTCACACAGCATAAGTAGTGACGATTTAAAAGCTTGGAAGTTGTAACAAGTTTAGGAATTTGTAGTTTACTCGTATCTGTTCGTGCCATTTGCAGTCCAGAGCAACTGCTGGATGCAAATCAGAAGAGGATTGGGAGGCCCAATTGGTGGGTGGGGCTTGGTTCTTCAGCTTGGGCTCCAACCTTCCTAATTGATACATGCAGGCCCACACAGATTATCATAGGCTCATCTTTGTTTTCTGCCATGGAGGCCCACCCAGCATTGGGTACGTAACAGCACGACTTTCATATATGGTTCACAAATTATCCTTTGACTCCAAATAGAATTATAATAGGCATTAGCATATAGAGTTAGTTAGAAAGCTGGTATTTGAATTACATTGTTGAATGACTTCATTCCATGTCTATTTTCTGTTTGAACAGATTATTTACATTATTATAATAAGGCCGGATAACAGATGCAATCATGCAATGTTTTAAAAATGGGTGATGTTTTAAAAATCAACCCAGAACCAGACTATTCTGATCGCTGATTTTTGGGTCAAATGGGTGATGATTTGATCACCCAGGTCAATGGATCTGACCAATTCAATAATTTTTGAAAAAATAATAATTGGAGACAGAAATGGAATCAATATATCTTGACCGGTTTTGGGGCTGAACGGGCTAACCATGGAGGTCAAAAACGGAAAAAGCCCCATAGTCTTGGATATGCTTTTGATGATGTAATAGTCACGGCTAAGTGATATCCACCCTCTACATTCTTATTTTAGCAAAGCTGAAAGACCCTGGTGATTCTTTAGCTCTGTTCGTAAGTTATTTATCCGGGTAAATACATTTATCCAGGTCAGTGTTTCTCAGGAAAGACTTAAATACTTACCTGGATTAGTGCATTTATCCATGTTCTTTTATTTTTCATGTAAATAAGGCAATGACCATTTTAGCCATAAAAATCCAATATTAAAAGGGGCATTTTTGTTCATTCAAGTGTGGGCAAATTTTCCCCCAAGTGAGAAAATTATTTACCCACCTAGGAGATGGGTATCATTTACCCTGGAAAATAAACTTTCCCCGATCCCCGCTTAAATCTGAAAAAGGAACATGCATTTCTTGATCAATACGAATCAAAATTCCATTGACCAACTTTCCCCCTCTCAAAATCCAGAAAAAAAACGCCCCCTTTAGGTGAATTGATGATTTGAGTTGAAAACCACTCAATGATCTTAAGCCACCATGGAATACCCTATAGGCATACTTTGGTTTTTGAGTTATATGTCATTATCAATATGTTAATTATAAAAAATTAATTTAGTATTTCCCAGACCAAAAATGGATTTTGAAATAAACAGTTCTCTAAAATGTTTACTAATTAGTCAAAGATTTCATAAATAACCACACTAATATTAGGTACTATAATATATAATTTTTTATTGTTTCAGGCTTGCATTGACATAAAATGGCTGGGTATAAGTTATAAGCTTTTTATATTTTTTCTGAGTTTTTGTTATCTTTTTCTCTGAGAGGGTCAAGCAGATGGTCCAGACAATCGGACCAGTTGACACATAACATGCCAATCTCAGCAGCAAGGGGTTCGAACATTGGCCATGGCCAGCTGAACTCAATCCAGTTGACTCTTGAGAAATTGACAGACCCCCAACCCATGCATGAATAATGAATAATGAATAATGAATAATGCTCTCTCTCTCTCTATATATATATTATTTGCCTTGGGTCTTGAAAATTGCCAACACTCTTGAGCTTTAGTTTTGACCTTTTGTCCCTTTTTCATCCATTTTACAGTGAAACAAATGAATCTCCTAAAACTCAGTTTTAAAAGAGTATAAATACAAATATGTAGTGTAAAACCTTGTATTTTGTATTGTTTTGTATGTACTTGTATTATATATTTATATTTTTTAATTTTTTTTTCAAACTAAGGCTGAGTTTGGAAGGAGTACAAATATAAATATATGTACAGTGCAAAACCTTGTATTTTATATAATTTTGTATTTAAGTTTCAAACTAAGGCTGAGTTTGTATGTACTTGTATTATATAATTTGTATTTAAAATAATATCTTTATACGTACTGAAGTATTTAAGTACAGTTTTGTTTCTTTTACAATAATAAATATTTTATTTTCTTGCCATTTATATCAAAACAATAGCTTGGAATTTTGAATAAATGAATGCGGCATTAATGTAAAAAAATCATATAGAAACAAAAAGGATTTATGAAAAACTATGCGATCATAAGGTTCTGTTTAGAAAGTGTATAAATACAAATATGCACAGTGCAAATACAATAAAAATGCAGTGGGATGATAGGATAGGATGTCTGCAAAATAAATTCTTTATATTTTAATTGCGTATGGGATCTTCGGATGTATGTACTATGTAGTGATTCTTAGTGAAGATATCTTCTATTGGACTATTATTGCAATTAAGTGGAACGCATGATTGGACGCATTTGGAGGAATAAAATATTGCAATTACCTTTCATCTAATGCAGAAACAAGACCCAGAAAAAAAAAAAAAAAAATTGAAAACCCATTGAAAGCGTATACTTAGACATAAAGGAAGGAAGATCAAAAGAAAAGAAAAAGAGCTCTTTTATTAAAGATCGAACTGCTAAGTTTTTAGTGTGTTCTTTAGAAGATAAATCTTGATCGTTTACTTTGACATAATACGCTAGCTCCAGAGATGAAATGGCATAATTGGCTGCTAGCTAGCTTCTTCCGTTCTTCAGCAGTCCCTCGTTCTTGAACCCAATTGGTGCTAACTTTTGCTTCTTGGGAGTAGAGAAAGATGAGTTTATTAAGATCAACAACATGAGTCTATTTTGCAAGCATCCTATCATCCCACCTCCACTAATGGCTGATACTCTATGTTTCATTGGTTCTGGAACAATAATAAAACAAAAATAAAGAAAAATTTATTGCAAGAAAATTAAACAAAAATCTCTATGTTTCATCGGAGATTGCCGCTGGTGGCCGGTTGCTCTAGCTACAAGCCGTGAACCGATGGGTCCATAGGATGCGAACTCCATTTTTAAAAACTCAGAGATTAACCGTTTACCAAACATTCTTTATCTTTAAAGACAAAACCTGGAGAGCTGAATACATATCCTTTTGGCCATCTTAACTGTCGAAGATCATTTGTAAAAAAAACTTGCCAAATGGCACCGTGATAATGCCACATTTATCACTCTTAGAAGACAAATCGAAAGAGAATTAATTAATTAATTAATGAATCCATTAACTATTGAACTTAACTTAAAAGTCAAAACATTAAAAGAGTACTACGGGCCTGGGGTTATCAGTGGATGGTCAATATTCATTCTGCTCAGATCATACATCTCTCTCTCTCGTTCTTCTGCATGTGTATGTTGTTATCTAACTTGTTGTGGTTGAAACCTGATAACTTGCTGAAGTTTTTGAGTAGGCGAAGCAGTTGCACAAGTGAGCCATTCCGACTTCCAAGCATGCAATGGAACTTCTCCCGTCGCCGTTTACGCGACGGGAAATGACTCCGTCTCCATCACCGGCCACCACTGCTTCCTCTGCGGCTTCCCTGGCCACTGCCAATTTGGACAGAAGCTCCACATCAACGTCCCTCCTTCCATTGCCGCAACACCGGCTCCTGCTGCTCCTCAGGTTAGCGCTTCTCCATCTTCTTCTAAGTCGAGGCAGCTGGCTTTCGCCAATTTTACAGCTTCTGTGCTGTCTCCACTTTTGCTTATTTATGAATTTTAGTTTATCGGTTAATTTTGTGGGTGCCTGTTATTGTTTTAGCTGCAACTGCCATGGGCATATTACTCTGAAGTCTGGACCGGAGTCAGGTTGATATGGTCTTTCTGTATTTTTTAGGCAAAGGAGATTTAACGAATTAATAGGCCGTTTTTAATTTTTTTATTATTCATCTCTGGTTTCCTTCTCCTTCAAAGTTCAAATCTTCGGTTAGTAAATTCGAATTTCTTTAAATTTTACGATGGAATGGATTTGGCTGAGGGGCCATTGCCCACTGGCCCACCATGTGGTGGGCTTATGGAGTGTGGTCCAAATTGACGACCACCGAACTCCTAGTTGAATGAAAAAACGGAACAAACAAAAATGGAAATATTATGAGGATGCTTTTATTTAGAGAAATATAGGTATAATAGGTAGTAGTTGATGGGCGTACATCACAACATGATCGTTCAAAGATGGTCGTCCGTCCATTTTCAAACTTCTTTTTGAAGGCCCATTTTCAAATCCAGTTGGATGTATACAACTTGCATAATATTCTGGGACTCAAATGGCATTATCCCCCCACCCTCACCAACACCTAATTGCAGGAGTCTGCCTTGACTCTCTCGTAAGGAATACACACACACACAAAAAAAAAAGTCTTTCATTGATCCAAATATTCAGGATCTTCTTGAGGGTCGGTTTAATATGTGGGAATAGAGGTCTAGAATCTGAATCAGAACCCAACTGTTTGATTGAACAGAACCAGAATTCTATTTTCATTTCTTGTGAAATGAAAATCCAATCCAATCAATTCTGATTCCAATTCCAGTCTAACCAAAACAGGTGAGGGGAATACGATTCCAACTAGGTCATGGTGAAAGTACAAAAACTCCATTCATTATTCATCATATGACTCTATTTTATGTTTAAACTCAATCAAATACAATAAAATAGTCAATTGAAAGAAACCATATGCATGAATTCTTGAAGCATTAGCTTACTTATAACAAACAAACAAAGAAATAAAAAGAATGGATAAGTGAATAACAAGAAAATAAAGGAGAGAGAAAAGAAAGGGGAAGGGGAGAAAGAGAGAGCCAGGGAAGAGGCAGTGCATGGGAAGAGCAACAACAGCTCCACCCCTCTGTTGATTGCTCCATCCCATGCTCTGCCTTATCCCTGCCTATCTCTCTCTCTGTCTCCCCACTCCACTTCCTCTAATCCCTCTCTGTATAACATACCATTTGGTCCATTTCCGTTTCGTATCCTTTCGGCCCAAAGTCATGCATGGTTTACATCAAACACTTCCTCTTGAAGAAATTACTTGGCAAGCATCTTCATCTTCCCCAATGCAAGCCCTTTGGGAGGAGGATTCTCAATTCTTTGTAGAACTGAGGGAGGGGAGAGGGCTTACTTTATATTGTTGTGTTGCATATAGTTGCAGTAGTACAGGTGCAAGTACTAATCAACCAATCCACACCCATTTACTTCTTCTAATATGTACTACCAATAACGTCTTCCAACATTCAAAATATACTAAAACATATATAATTCAAATAAAAAAGTTGAACCGTGAGACCCCCCCCCCCCCCTCACTAATGAGTACAAGATAGTACGTATCAATATCATGTAGGACCCACACCATGTGATGACTACACCAGCCACCAACCACCCCATCGAGTTATAGAATTATGGAAAAATTCCCAACTTTGGGCCTACTACCACTTTGGTCCCCAAAATTTAAAATGCGATATCTAAATTTTTAAAATTTGATAATTCAGTATTTGTCGTTAATTAGCTGTTAAGTGACATTTGAAAAAGACACAAATGTCCTTTAAGTGTTGCATAATTTTTTTTTTGTCAATTATTTAAACGTTGACTAGAAATTAACAACCCCAAATTCTTGCCTTTTTCATTCAAGAAAATTGGGGTCACATTTGAATGGGCATTCTAATGACCCCAACTTTCTTAAATAGAGGAGGCAAAGATTTAAGACTTAATTTTTTATCAATGTTTGGATGGTTGATAAAAAAAATTAGATCACATTTAATGGACATTTGTGTCTTTTTCAAATTCTACTTAACGATTGATTAACAACTAATTAACAACAGGTACTGAATTATTATATTTTGAAAGTTCCAATATTAAATTATCACACTTTAAAGTTTGGGAACTAAAATGACACTAGACCCAAAATACAGGATACTAATCCAGATTTTTCCCTAAAATTATACTCAGTTGGGGTCAACAACAGGTCAAATCCCATCTAATCTATTGGGTTAGTTTGGCGACGGGCAAGGCAGATGAGATCTACCAACCGATCAACGGCACATCGACCATATAAAGTACTGATTGTAGATGGTTATAATTGTGTGAGACTGTTCCACAACTATCCATGTACTGTACTACAGCTCCCATTCACCATATAGAAATGGTGATTGTAGTAGTAGTAGTACAACATATAGAAATGGTGATTGTAGTAGTAGTAGTACAACATAATTCCTTTCTTCCTTCATGTACTCCAGTCTCTTCCAAACAGCCCACAAGAGACCCAACACCTGCTTTCTAAGAAGTCGGTGAAAATATCTGCAGTAAAGACGCATTGGTGGTGTTTGGTAAAACTGAACTCAGATATCTGAAAAGTAAGGAGGATCTGAATGTTGCCATGGACCCTTATGTATTCAGAATCTGTTTTTTTCTTTCTTCTTTTCTATAATTTGAATGTAGTTGAACTATTCGAATATCTGAATGTTGTACATGGACCACTTCACAAATTTACCTCTTGGATGTATTTATTTGATGAATCTAACCATGAAAAAAAATCCAGCACTTGATATTGCAAGACAAAATTTCAATAAAGAGATATCAAAACTCATATAATTTTTATAATATTTTATGTTTGAAATGGTAAATTTTATAGATAATATATAAGATTAATATTAATTAAGATGTTTAATTTATTAGTATATAAATAAATATACTTTTAATTTAAATAAATAAATATATATTTTTTAAGTTATTATTAACTAAATCGGTTCTGGGCCTGTGATTTTGTCTTGATTAATAATCAGTTTGGAACTGAGACCACCCTGTCCCGACCTACACCCAACCCACTGACAATCCTACTCTGGCTTACTCTGGTTTAACCAAATTGATCAACATTTGGTCTGGTTTCCAGAAAAACAATCCGGCTTCCAAAAAGACTTGACTGAACTGATAAGAATTATTCTAGCAATAATTAAAAATTAATGTATTTAAATAACTGAAAAACTACACGGATGCAGCAGATGTGAACCTATACTGATCACCCTAAATTTTTGTCGTTTATTATGGAGTTTTTGCATACTTAGACTGATAAAATATGTTGATTAATTAATTATTTATTTAGTTTTGATTAGTTTTAATAAACTTAGGTTAATGGACAAATAATTTAATCAACTTACACTAGATTAATTATTTATTATAGATTTTATTCTTCCTTCAATATCTTTAGTTTTTGGCAAGAAAARAAAATCTTTAGTTTTTAATTTCAGCATGTTCTTTCATTCAAGTTTTCAACAATGTCAAATACCTGTGCATTGCTGCACATATCCCCACCAGTGATTTATTATAAGAATGTGGCCAATGGAGGCATAAGATGAAAGATTGGAAATGGAGAAAGTAGATACATGGATAAAAGATCGATAGAAACTCTTAAGAAAAATAATAAAATAGATAATGAGAAATTGGAAGATGAAGGATTTAATTGGTTAAATAGAGATCCTGGAAAACCAATTTAATAAAGACCAGAGTTCCTAGTGACATGATGAGGAAATTAGAGGCGGAGCCATCAGCCATGCCAATTCCAAGTAGGGAAGTCAGAGATGAGATAAAATGGGGATTGGACCCTAGGGAAGTACTCAGTCAAATCAGCTTACCAAGGCTTGATAAAAGAACAGATGGTGCAAATGGTGATGATTTTCTCAAATTAGTATGGCACATGATTAGAAAAACAAAGTGTAGGCCTAAAAGCAAGGTGCCAATCAATTATGGTTTTTTAACTGCCGTTGATTCAGATGGTCGGATCGTTCAGTCCGGGAATCGTTTAGGTAACTGGTTTCGTTTTACCTTAAACTCGGTTTTTGGTCAAAAAATGGTCGAATCAATTAACGATTCATTGATTCGGGCGGTCAAACCGTCGATCTATTGACCCATTCAACAATTTTTAACTGTTTTTTATTTTTTGTTAAAACAGACCCTCCGTTTGAACCATCGACTCAAAAACTAGTGGCTAGAACAATTTCATTTTCAGGTCTGTCGATTGTAACAGACTTGGGATCAAATCCCGCCTATGCTTGGGTTGGGGGGTATGGGCTACTTGCCTTGGGGCTGTTCATGGGTCGGGTTGGGTCGGTTTACTGAGGGTTTTCCAATCGACCCGACCTGGTCGGGTTACCTGAACTTGAAACCGAAACCGACCCAGTGTTAAGCAAAACCGACTTAGTCGGTTTGAGTCAGGTTGGGTCGGTTTCAGTTGGTTTCGGCTCTAAGTTCTACCATGCTTGACAGAAACTCAACTGCAATATATATGTGGGGATTGTGGCACCACAGTATGTGAGGTAGTGAACGCGAGAAAAGCCTTGTTTTGATAAACAGGATATACCTCTAGTCTACAGTTTGGATTTTGGAGAGGAGAAGAAGAGCAAAACCCATATATAATAATAATGCCTATTATAGAGGTATATATGTTATATATCTTTTCAGTAATTAAGTTTTATCTCCAAAACCATCAACCTATCCCTTTGATTATATATTCATTTTGAAGTTTAGTTGTCTTAATTGGGATTTGGGTGAATTCTGTAGGGAGACTTCAGGACAGTTAATTATAATCATTAATCTAGCCAATGTAATAGATTTGAAGAGGGACAATTAGTTATAGGGGCTTAATTAATTTAAACTTCATAAAGGGACAATTAGTCAGTTCGGTTTGGGTTGATTTCGGTTTTCACATAAGAAAACTAAAACCGACCCGAACCATCGGTTTATGATGTTTTACAATCTGAAACCGACCCGTGCTGAAGATAACCCGACCAACTCGGATTGGGTCGGTCCGAGTTGGTCGGTTTGGTCGGGCTGGGACTTCTTATGAACAACCCTAACCTGCCTACCCTTGTGTAGCCCCTTGGAGAAAAAAGAAAAAAAAGTACCCGCCTAAAATAAGAGTATTCCTTTGGTCGCTAGTTGAAGGCAAACTCCCAACCAAAAATCTTCTCCACATGAGAAAGATGCAAATAGATCTTTAGTACGCCTACTGTAGAGAGCGAGAAGATGTGAATCATGTCTACATCGCAAGCCCTCTCTCAAAACAGGTTTGGATTCCCATAAATCAGCAAATTCCAGATCTAAGCTCTAAGCAGGAGAATATTGGGTGACTCGCTTAATGGACGAAAGAATAAAGAGATAATTTACCCAAACCCATGGGGAAAGTTAATTTTATTTTGTGGGAAGTAAAAGAATTTTGCAAATAAAAATGAGAACCCTTCTYTTATTGAAAGTGGGGGGGAGATCTAATGGAGTTCTGTTAAGCCAATGAAAATCCCAATATTAGGAAGAGTAATAATCCTAATTGCAGATGGATAAAATTAACTTTGATGCTTTGAGATAGAATAGTGGAAAATGTGAGATTTCAAAGGAGAATTCTTCAATCAAAAGCAGGTCAAATTGGAGCGCACCAATCAATCAATTAATGCTGCGGAATTCTGGTTAGCAAGAGAAGCAGGTGAACTAGAAAGACAAAGTAACGGGAGAACTATTTAGAGTGACGGTGATTTTGAAGCTGGTCATCAATTCAGGGGTTCTCACGCTTTGTTTAAAATTTTGAAATCGAACCGGGGTTATCGGTTTTTAGAAAACTGGTAATCCAAATTGAGTCAAAGTCGATTGATTAACTGGTTGACCGGTTCGGTTAATTATCGGTTTGGTTTATTGGTTTTTTGATTTTTTTATTATTTATAATATTTATTAATTATAGAAAAATATATATATATATATATATATATATATATAATATGATATTTTAAATAATAAATAATATATTATATTATATATATAGTGCTTGTTTATTAATTTATAATGTATAAAAAATAAAAAAATATATAAATATACATAAAATATTATATAAATATATGTATATCGATCAATTCGGTTAACCATTGGTTTTTTATTTTGGTTAACCGAAACCGAAATGCTACTTTCGGTTTTTTAAAATACTGAACTGAAACCAAACCGAACAGTTTAATTAACCGAATTTTTGGTTCGGTTTCGGTCAGTTCGATTTCATAGTTTTTTGGTTAGCATACTAAGAGTAATAAGGAAATTCCATCCCTAGCTACACAACAAAGCACTAATGGAGACTTTGAAATCGTTTATTGTCACACGTGGAGGGAAGGCAATCGAGCTGTAAATTGGTTTG